CCCCAAAACCCCAAAACCCCAAAACCCCAAAACCCCAACTCGAAGTAGGAATAGATATTAATATTTTAATTGGCCGGGTCAAGCATAAATGGAGAACTTTTTGGTAGAGGTAAGGAAAGTGAGTTGTGCGGGGAAGTTTAGAGGTTTTATATTGATGGCGGATGGCTAGGATATGGAACAAGTTGTTTTAGGAAGGTGCAGGGACTTATAGGGTAACAAGTTTTGATAAGATTGAATTTTTGGGATGTTGGAGATAGAGATGGTTAGGAAAAGTTTGGGATAAGATGACCCTGGAAGGGATGTGTTGATTGGTTGTTGTTTAGAGGATAATATAAGGCTTAATTCGTTGATCAGCATGTTTTGTGTTGTTTTTTGGGCCAGTGAATGGTTGCTAGGGTGTAAAAATGTTTCGAAATTCATGTGTATAAATTTTCATTATTTTCCCAAAAATTAATCCAATCTTATTTTTACATTAGTATTCTTTGGTTATTAAGTTTATTTCTCTAAATACATGTTTATGGCGGATTCAGTTAAGTAATGGAAATTTTTTATGATTTCTGAGATTATTTTAAATAATAATAAAAGTCTCTAAAATCTTGGGTTATAGTTAAAACTTTTATTTAGAAAGATATGCAAAATTCATGGATGAGAGCTTTCCAGAAGCTTTGTAGTTATCGAGAGGCATTATTTATTTACAAAATACTACAATGGATTATTGGCTTACTAAAATCATATCAAACCACTTCAGATAAAATATCAAAATTTAGAACTAAATTTTTCATTTTTTTACTTTTCATAAATATTTTTATGAAAATCTGCTCATGAGAAACCCTATGAAATTCTGGCATGTTTAATGAGCTTGATCACTGATTCTCTTGTCATGTCTCATGCAAGGAGTGAGATCAATATGGAGAATGAACAACCTGCAATGAAGGGTTTACCTATAACCGTAAGTTCTTCAATTACTGGGATTACTGGTTTAGAAAAAAGTTCTCATAATTTTAAAGTTTATTAATTATGAAAAATTTAAGATAAAATACAGCATCAAGCAAACTCTGAGATTATCAAAATTGAGCTGATGGAGAGTTTTATTCATTACCTTTGCAAAAATGCTCAAGTTGAGAAGAAAGCTGCCATTCCTCGTGAGCATACCAATATCATTGTTTTGAATGTTCTAATGACGAATTTCTCAACCTGGATGATATGAATTGTGTAACTGAATGAAATCCTGATACCCAAATCGAAATAGTTGACCCTCAACTTCAAGATATTCCTGTCTGCAGATCTTTTGACTACTATGTAAACCCAAACAGCCATAGTCTAGTGGAGGTTGGAACAAGACTTCACCCATACAAAGATCTTGACTCTGCCTTTGTGGAGATTCTGAACTTCCACAGTGACCAAGAGAGAAATATAACTGTGTATGTAATGGAAAGTACAACTGTGTTTGGAGTGAGTCCAATCTATATTTCTAATATCACTCATGTTCAAGTTGAATCCTACACTGATACAAAAATTAGGAGAGACCCTGCTAGATTAGTTGGTGTAACCAATAGTTCAAAACTTATCAGATCAAATTTTCCAACAAAATTCAAGATTTTAGGTAAGCATTCTTTCATAATTCATAGCCAATCAGTCTGTATTACTGGCTGAGAAAATATTTGATGTTGAAGAGTTTGACTCCGATGATAGAAAGGAACTCTTACTGAATAATGCAATATTTCGCCCGTTCCATGCTGGCTTTGTGCTCAACAATTTTAGACTAAGAACAGATTATGATGATCCCTCAACTTCCCATGCTATAGTTGATCCAGTAAATATTGATACAAAAATAGTTGGATTCACTAATTGAGACTTGAGAATTCAGGGAACTGTCTTCAGAGCTATCACACAAGTTCTCAATTTCAGAATGGAGAATATCCTCTTGGAGACTCAGTTTCTTTATAGATTTATCTTGATGAACCTCAGATGTGCTCCTGATGGAAGTGACCTTGGAACCCAGTTTTATTGGAAAAATATCACAGTCATAAACTCTGGTGAACGGCCATCTTATCTGCATATTCAAGAATCTTTCATCCGAGCTTATCTTCCCAGTAATGCGCACATTGAAGACTGAATGTTTGATACATATCAAGGATATTCAAACACATTGGTTCCTTATGTCTTCTATATCAATCAAAAGAATTGTACTCCAATAAATGAAGCTAAATGGAACTTCACCAATGTCCATTTAGACACTAGGAGGTTTGAAAATGGAAGAAATAGTAGTTTTGCTAACTCAAATCATTTCTCATTAGTAAGAGGAACCGAGAACTCTAATCATGTAGATCTATACATCTACAATTTTTCTTCTTCTAATACGATATCCTTCACAACTATGGCTTCTTTCAATTGTTGGCTTTGAAATAACATCACTCTGTATATGAAAGATATTGCCTTTAAAAATGTTGAAGGATATGTTATGAACTTAGAGACTGAATATACATTCATCAATAACATTTCCTTTACAAATGTAAACTCCGATATCTTTTATCTAATGCATATGTCCTCTGATAACAGCATCCAAATTGATGGTCTTACATTGGACAACGTTACTGATGTAGGTTCTTCAAAATTATCTCTAATTTTGGCTTACTCGAAACAAGACTCAGACTTTGTGTTCAAAAATATTGATATCAAAGCTGCAGAGATTATCAATAGAAGAGCCGTTCTATTTATCACTTCAACTAGTAATAGTAGCCTGGAATTTTCAAATGTCTCAGTTACAAACTCAGCACTAGGTGGAGATTCTAACTTACTTGGATATGGAATATTTCGGAATCTCAATTTCACAGACATTCATGTTAGAAATACTACCTCCAAAGCTCAAGGAGTCAATTACATTATTCGAAGTGATTATAGTAGCGAGGGGCTTGCTCCAGATAACAATCAGACTTTGAGTAATGTTCTGATAGAAGAGTCTTCTATTTCATTGCTTAGTGTATCTAAGCCAGATGGTTATGTGGGATCATCCCAAAGCTTTTCTGTCATCAATATCACTTATCGAAATAGTGTCAGTGAAGTTGAATTAGACTTTATAAGACTGTATCAGATGTCCACCACAGGTTCCTACTCAATCACTCTAAATGATATATCTTTCAAGAACTTATCATTCACAACTCAGAGTAATCTGATGTATTTTCAGCAACAACTGTCAACTCCAGTTGAAATCTCTAACCTTGAAGTTTCAGATGTTGTAAATGGGGGAATCACTGTTGAAAATTTTAGAGAAAATGAATTCTACAATACAACTCATGTGCAAATTACCAACATGACTGCATACAATGTAAATGGGATGTCAACATCTCTTTTTAATATCTTTGATGGGGCTGAAATTCAGATTGTTAGTTCTCAGTTTTCGTTCATTAGCAACTATAACAAAGGTGCTGTTATGTCAGCTGGTACTCAGAAAGCTGTCAGTGTTTTCATAGAATGTTCTTTCTGGAACAATACATCAATAGACGGTGCTGTTTTTGCAACAGAAGCTGAAAGTAACATCAAATGATACAATTGAGAATTCACTCATAATTTTGCTGTATCAAGCGGTGTAGTCAAAGTAGACTCTGATGGAATGTTTGAATTTTACAACTGCACAATCCACGACAATATTGCCCTTAGAGCTTCATTCAGTGAGCTATATTCATCCCAACTTGAAAGTATTTTGGATGGATCAAATATTGCTTCTAATTATGTTGTAACTAAAGATAAGATACTTACAGATATCGTGATGCAAGGTATGAAATATTTTTATTTAATCTAGGTTATATTCATAAAAGTTTCAGAAATTATATAAACAATAACACTGAAATCCTTGATTCAGGAGATAACCCTAGTTGTATAAAAGCTCTGCTAGGATCAATCTCAATAACGAATAGCGTCTTTGATAGCCAACCTTACATCCTTGAGATCATTAGCTCTATAATTTCTATAACAAATGTATCATTTATAAGCATTGAGTTAGCTAGCATAATGATGAGGATAAGTGAGTCTGAAGCTTTTTTTTATGGAATTATCATGACAAACCTCACATGTGGAAATCAACAAAATGATGTATTGCAACTTACAAATTCATTCATCAAAATACTTGACTTGAATTATACTTCTTCTACTTGTCGATTAATTCAAGCGGCAGCTTCACAACTAAATCTGGAGGTATTTATTAGAATAATGTATAGAAACTGAGTTCCTCCCAAATCAGTCTCAATCTAATGAATCTAATTAATATTCAAAGGTCTAAAGCCATTGATGTCAGCAATAGAGGTGTGAATTTTACCACATCGATAGAGTCTTGCACATTCAAGTCCATATCTTCTAACTTTATTAACTTGATTTTTATCAAGAATTCAGGGATCTCAAAAATAGAAAATACCGCATTTATCGAGATTGGAACTCAGGTGATTAAAATTGAGAATTCGGTCGTAGATCTGATAAGCAATGTTCACTTTGAATCTAATCTACAGTGAATCTTGGCTCAAGAATCTACTCTGAAGTTAGTTCAGTCTTCTGAGTTCAGAGAATGTTCGGCAGAACACTCTAATGGAGGAGCCATCAGACTTGTCAGAAGTAGCTCTACTATTAGGGAGTGAGAATTTAATACTAATTTAGCTGAAACTGGAGCTGGGATCAGTGTAGAATGAACTTCCCTGGTTGAGTGTGATAATATGTTTGAATATCTTATATTCTCGAATAATTATGCTAAGATACAAGGAGGATCAATATATTACAATTACAAAAGACCCCTGCTTACTCATATTACCTACATTAACAATACTGCACAGTATGGTCATGAAATTGCAAGCTATGCTGTCAAGATAGTTCAAAAGAACACTTCTAATAATAAAATTGTACTAAATGATGTTGGGAGCAATATCGAATTTAACAAAGATCTTGAACTAGAGCTCATCGATTACGATGGCCAAGTCATGAATCTTGAAAACACTTTCACAGTCACAATTCTTGAAAATGATCCTTCAATTGAAGTAAAAGGAACAAACACAGCAAAATTTGTCAATGGAACTGCTCTCTTTGACAATCTAATTTTTGTTGGAGTAAACGGTATGAAGAATGCTTTGTACAAAGTCATGACCAGTAGTATCGATCAAAGCATTGTTAACGCAGTTTTGGGTAATTCAAATGGTGAATATAACAACACCATAGATGCTTCCTTCAGGCATTGTAAACCAGGAGAAATTAAAACGGCGAATTATCATTGAGAAGAGTGCAATGCAAGAACTTTTTCTTTCACCTGGAACTCTACCAAATGTAATGATTGAGTCCAACATGCTACTTGTAATGGAAAAGATGAAATAGAAATCTCTCAAGGTTACTGGAGGAAGTCTGTAAATTCTTCAACAATAATTGAGTGACCCAACAAAGATGCTTGAATTGGAGGTTATCATCCTGACAACTCAGATCATCCTGTCCAATGTAAAATAGGATATAAAGGTGTTCTTTGCTCAGAATGAGACATAGTCAATGGAACCAAGTATCAACCTTTAGCTGACTTCCAATGAAGTAAATGACCAAATCAAATTGTAAATGGTTTACGAATGATTTCCTTTGTAATATTTGCTTTAGCTTTCTTAATATTTTTAATATTTCTCACTCTAAGAAAGACCAAAGAAAGCCAGTTATCTATTCTGCTAAGAATCTTCACAAACTACATGCATGTAATATCAGCTTCTATGTCATTCAATGTAAATGTTCCAGACAGCTTCACCAACATGTTCTCTTTTGCAGGATCAGTAACATCCCCTAATGAGACATTCTTTTCATTTGACTGATTTATCGAAAGCTATGAATTAAGATTGATTGCTCCATCAAACAAAATGTTAAAATTATTTCTTCACATTTTGTTGCCGATAATATTGATGGCTGCTATTTTTGTTATTTTTCTCATTATTAAAAGTTGTGCTTATTGAATTGTGAAGAAAGATAAACCTCAGAACCAAGCAACTACAGATCTGTATAGCTTAAAAAGAACAATTGTAGTTTCTATAATCTGAATAATTTTCTTATTTCACCCAATCCTCACTACAAAGTCTCTGTCAATGTTCTTATGCACTCAGATTGATGAGGATGATTATAGGATGACTAACTACATGGAATATAGCTGTTACTCATTCGACCACCTAAAATGGGCTGTTTTCATATCTACTCCAATCTTAGTCATATGGGTGATCGGCCTCCCTCTAGTTGCCTTACTAATCCTTCTGAAAAACAGAGAACATCTTGATGATTGGAAAATAAAGAAGTATTTCATGATTTTGTACCAAGGATTCAGGAAAGAAACATTTTACTGGGAATTTGTCAGCACCTTTCGGAAATTCTCCATCCTTGCTATTAATGCTGTGCTCAACAACGCTCCTTCGACCTACAAAATTTTTCTTGCTATTGGTAAGTTTACAAATTAACATTATAGCATTTCTAGTAGTACTCTATTTCTTACAAAAGAAGATAATGCCCTTCTCTAAGCGAGAGCACAACAATATAGACCTTCTTGGCGTCAATGTTGGAATACTGACATTCTACTGCACAATTTTATTCTCTCAAGAAGATTTAAGCCCAAGAGGATTTTACTCACTAGCTCTGTTTATTGTGTTTATTTCAAATGCCTACTTCATGCTGAAATGGCTTTACCTAGTCCTGTGTGAAATTAAATGGAACAATCCTTACTTTATAAAGCTTCTTAAGATATACTCAAGAGCTGTTTGTACCGAATACACAAGACCCGACTCTATGCCCAGTGCTAAGCCTAAAACCACCACTCTCAGAGACGTAGTTAAGGTCCAAATACTAGGCGAAGGTAACTCCTCCTCCCCCACTAACTCTCTACAGGCATGACTCAGCTCAACAGAGGAAAGAAGAAGCATAAGAAGAGGCTTAAGAAGAGAAGGAAGGGAGCTAAGAGTAAGTAGACTTGGGGATAAGTGTGGTAGAGAAGTTTTAAGTGGGGCTGGGAGCACGAGGGTATTATGAAAGGAAATTTTTGATAGATTTGGGACATTTGAAGGGAAATTTGGATGATGGGGAGGTTAGGGTGAGGATTAGTAGTCCTAGTGGGGTGTTGGGAAGGGGTTAATAGAGTGGTGGCTTACTGGGGGTAGATTTTAGGAAGAATTTTGTGAAAGAGAATATTGGAAAGAAGATGCTTGGAATTGCAGAGGATTCTAATTTTGAGTAAGTTTGAAATTAATAATGTTAGCAATCCTTTTACTTCCAAATCAAAAACTGACAGATTATTTTGGAAGCCGACGAGCAAATCAGTTAACAGATTCAATAGTAAGAGATACATGAATCAAAACTAGTAGCAAATTTAATCTGAAATAAAATATTTTGAAATGTTTCAAGGATGAATAGTACCCCTGGGGTTTTGGGGTTTTGGGGTTTTGGGGTTTTGGGG